TGATCATCGATATGCATTTATCACTGTGGTATGATGTTTTTAACTCTCTTGAGAAGATTCATAGAAACTAAATAGCTGAATCAAATGGAAACTTTGGATTTAGTTTTTTTAGGATTCTTTGGACTGATCTCCATAGTGTAGATAACGGTTTGCATTCCAACCAAAAACGGAGAAGCTTTTCTCCCCAGAGCCTTCCCAATATTTCTTATTGGTTGATTTCTTAGTAATAGCCATTCTTTCTCAAAAGAGATGGAATTGTAGCATTGTTTTAACTTGCATTTCTAGAATGACAAGTGGTGTTGCACATGATTTCATATATTTGATCTTTGTATTTCTTTATCTGGGAAGTGTCTATTCAATTTATATATCCATATTTGGATTGTGTCTTTGAATTGGGAAGGGTAAATTCCATATATAATCCACATATTAGTACCTCATTTGAAGAGCAGCTGGTAAAAAGTTTTTCCCATTCTATGAGATTTTTCTTTGATCTATTGGTAGTTTCTTTCACTGAACAAAAACTTTTAATTTGATATGATCCCAGTTGTTGATTCTTTATAATATTTCCTGTGTGATTGGGGTCTTGTTCAGAAGGTCTTCGCCTACACCTATGTCTTCAATAATTTTACCTAGTTTATCTCCCAGCAGATTGTATTACTACTTTTTTTTAATAGAGCACAAATTAGAAATAAAACAGAAAAAATTACAAGTGATACAGAATTTCACTTAAAGTAATATGAAGTTCACAATATTTGTTATAATACATAGTGTTGTCTTCCAATCAGTTATTCATATTATCAGATATATGCATGTAAAATTATATGAAGAAAAAAGAAATGTATGAGAAATTAAGAAGAGAAAAAGTACAGTTGAAAAAAGGAGACAAAACATATTACATATTATCTGCTCTTATTCATAGACCAGCAGAAACGCACAAAAAAGTTGTGCAAACCATTCTGTTACATACATAGATAAATCTCTTCCCTCTACTCCCACTCCTGTCCTTCTCCTCAACTCAGTAACTCTTTCTTTTTGAATAAGTTCATCTCCTTTTCCCTGAGACCCTTCAGAATCCATTTTTCTTTTTCAAGTTCTAAGGAGACCCAATCTAAAAATGAGCATCTGAAATGAATATATACTTTTTAGAGGAAGAAATATAAATGGCAAATAAATATATGAAAAAAAGGTTCAACATCATTGGTCATTTGAGAAATGCAAATTAAAACAACACTGAGATTCCATCTCACCCCAGAAATAATGGTTACCATCAAGAAGTTAGCCAATAACAAATGCTGGAGAGGCTGTGGAGAAAAAGGAACCCTTCTGCACTGTTAGTAAGAGTGCAGACTGGTACAACCACTGTGGAAATCAGTGTAGAGATTCATTCAAAAACTAGAATTGGAGGTCCCGTTCAAGTCAATAATTATCCCCCGGGTACTTTTCCAAAAGAACTGAAAATCTCATACCATAATGATATACGTGCACCCATGATTATAGCAGCACAATTTGTTATAGCTAAATTCTGGAAACAACCCAGATGCCCATCAACTGAAGAATGAATAAAGAGGATGTGGTATTTTTATACAATAGAGTATTATTCAGCTATAAAACAGGATAAATTTGAGTCTTTTGTCAGTAAACGGGTGCAACTAGAGAACATACTCTTAAGTGAAATAAATTGTTTCTATTTTTATATTTAGATTTTTGATCCATTTTGATTTTAGTTCTTTTATGTGGTAAGAGATATGGGTCCAGGTTCAATCTTTGGTATGTAGAAAGCCAGTTTTCCCAGAACCATATGTTAATTAGAAGCTGTCTCTCTTCTAGTGAAGGTGTTTGACCTTTTTGTCAAATAAAAGGTAGCTGAGTGTGCTTGGAGTTGCTTCTGTGTCTTCTGTTCCACGTTTGTTCTTTGGGTTGTTTATTTATTTATTTACTTTTTTTTTTAACAGTATCATACTTAAAAAAAATCATTGTAGTTTTATGGTATGATTTCAAGTTGGAGGTTGTGATGCAATATCACAACATCAAGTTGGATAGTGTGATGCACTGGGGTGCCTTCACCTTGTTGCCAAAAATTGCTTTTACTCCCCTGGATTTTTATGGCCATATGAATTTTATGATTGTTTTCTCTAGTTCTGTGAAGTATGTTATCAATATTTTGATTAGGATTACGTTAAATATGTATAATCCTTTTGAAAATATGGTCATTTTTCAATCTATTGGTTCTGCCTATCCAAGAACAGGAAATATCTTTCTATTTTTTTAAGCTTTTTTATAGTATTGTAGTTTTCAATGTGAAGGTCTTTCACTTCCTTCATTAGATTCACTCTGAAGTGTTTCGTTTTTCTTGATGCTATTGTGAAAGGGGTTGTTTCCCCTAATTTCTGTCTCAGTGAGTTTGTATTCATGTACGGGAATCCTATTAATTTTTGAGTGTTGACTTTGTATCTTGCTATGCTACTAAATTTGGTTCTTAATTCAAGGAGTTGTTTGTTGAAGGTTTTAGGGTCTTCTCTGTAGAGGATCATGTTATCTGTATATAATGATAATTTAATTCTTCCTTCCCTATCCATATTTATTTTATTGCTTTCTAATGTTCAATAGCTCTAGCTAGTGTTTCTAGAACTATATTGAACAGGAGTGGTGATAGTGAGTGTTCTTGTCTTATTTCTATTTTAAAGTTAAAGATTTCTATTTCTTACCATCTAGCAAGATGTTGGTTTGTCATAAATTGCTTCTATCACATTGAGATTTTCTGTAGGGTTTATTCTTTTTTTATCATGAATGGGTCTTGAAATTTGTCAAATGCTTATTCTGTTTTTATTGAGATGATCATAAGGTTTATGTCCTTAATTCTGTTTCATTTATTTATTTATTTATGTCAAATAATCCCGGCATTCTTGGGTGAATCCTAGTTGGGTATGATGTTTAATCTTTTAATGATTTACTGCATTCTTTATGCCAGTTTCTTATTGAAGATTTTTGCATCTGTGTTCATTAAACAGATTGGCCTATAGATCTCTTTTTCAGTTAAGTCCTTTTCTAGTTTTAGTATCCAGAAAACTCTTGCTTCTAGGAGTAACTGAGGGTGTACTGATTCCTTTTAAATTTCATTAAAGATTTTGAGGAATACGGGCATTTGATTTTTTCTAAAGCTCTTGGAGAATTCAGCAAGAAATTCATCAAGACCTAAGCCTTCTTTTATTGATAATTTTTAAAATGATTTCTTTAATTTCATTAATTGATATTGAAATATTTGGAATTTTTATATCTTCCTGTTTCTGCTTTGCTAATTCATGTGTGCTTAGGACTCTTTGTACTTCTTCTAAACTTTCTAGCTTATTCAAATATAGGTCATCAAAATAGCTACTAGTTGTCTTAGTTACTTTTTAAATACCCTACACCCCAAATGAAGGAAGGACAAGTTTATTTAGCTCACAGTTACTGGAGGGTTCAGTCCATATTCCTCTGGCTCCAAGGCAAACAATGGCAGTTCATACAGCAGAAAACAATGAAGAGCAGAGGAGGAGCAGCAGCTGTGGCATCCATCAAGCCTCTCTCTTCCTTCTTCACTGACTGCCAAGACTGGTGTTCCACGGCAAATACAGGAGCTCTTCCAAATGGTGTGGCTGCAAAGATCAAGCTCCTTCAAAAGACTGGGACTTCTTCAAAGCGGGGTAGGGTGGTAAGAAGTTGGGCAGGGTGCCAGAAAGCCTTTCTCAATTCCTGGGCCCTACCCACCTGCAGGGCTAGGCCCCCAAGCTGAGAACTGCCTGAGCTGATTCAGCCAAGTTGACACAATGTATCAACTAACACACTAGTGATCTTTTGAACTTCTACAAGATCTGTTGTGATTTCACCTTTTTCATTCCTAATTGAATGGATTTCCATTTTCTCTTTCCTCCTTTTAAGCAAGATTGTCTAGGGGTTTGTCTATTTTGCTTAATCTTTCACAGAACCAACTCTTTGATTTATTTATTCTTTGAATTGTTTTCTTGGTCTGGTCTCAGTTGGCTTAATTTCTGCTTTGATGCTTGTAATTTTATGCCTTATACAAGCTTTGGGTTTAACGTGCTCTTTTTTTCTAAAATAGTACAAGTCAAAATTAAATTTTTGGTATAATCATGCTCTATTTTTATGAGGTAGAAGTTCACTGGTATAATATCCTTCATACGACTGCTTCTTTCATCTTATAAATTTCAATATGTTGTAGTGGCATTATTACTTAAGTGTAGAAACTTTCTAATATCTTCTTTAATTTCATCTGAGACCTGTTGGTTTGTTCAGGAGGGTATTATTTAAGTTCTGTATGTTTATGTAGTTTTTGTTGATTCTTTTGCCATTTATTTTCAATTTCATTGTACCATGATCTGATAATATGCATGGAATAATTTTAATGACTTGCGTTTACTCAAGCATATTCCATGAGTTAGTGTGTGGTGTATTTTGGAGAAAGTCCTGTGTGCGACTCAGAAGACTATGTGTATTATTACTGATAGATGGAACACTCTGTAGCTATCTACTAAGCTCATTTGTTCAAAGATTTCATTCAATTCTTATATTTATTGCTTTTTGTCATTTTTTCACATTTTAAAACTATTTGTTTGCATATTTTAAAATTTGTTCATTCCAATAATTAAAATTATTTGAACCAAAAAAAATGGCACTCTGATTAAACTTCATTTTACAGTCTGCAAGACACCTTGGACCAGCTTGAATTTCATTCTAGATTTCACCATCCTACCAGCCAGCTTCTTCCTCCACCAACCTGCAAGCTCTTCTCCTTCCCTGCCAGCCACACAGGCTGATGGTGGGGGAAGGTGAGGTCTTCGTTGTCAGTAGTTCAGATGTGAAAGGGGCAGCATAGTCATTTAAACTTGATCCAACCTCTTTGTATCTTAAAAAGTTAAACAGCTAAAAGTAGCAAAATAAGAATGCAATGCTTGTGGAATGTACAGTGCATATCAGCAGGGCATACCTCATTAGGATTTGCCCATTTACTTCTCTTGTTCAGTTGTTTCTGTTGAAGGCAGAGGATTTTTCTCTTGTGTTTCTGTCTTCTTCAATTTCGACTTACTGAATTTCTTCATCTAAGCCATATCGGGTTTCTCAGACATGGTCACAAGGAAACCGAGCAAGGTGCACAAGGAAGCAAAGTCTGATCTGCTCAGTGGCAAACGTGGAGTTTTTTTGTTGTTTGGTTGGTTGGTTGATCTGTGTATTTGTAACAGTAGAGTACTAAGGAACTCCATTATAATTGTGTTAGTGTTTATTTGCTTTTTCTTATCCATTGGTTTTTGTTTAATATAGTTTTGTGTGCTTGTATTTGATTCATATATGTTTATGATAGCTATCTCTTCTTCTTGGATTGACCCTTTAACAAACACATAAATCCACTTTGTCTGCAAACACCTTAACTACCCGCTGCATTTTTCCAGCTTCCTGTTGTATGATTTTTTTGTGTTCCATCCTTTTACTTTCACTCTATGAGTTTCTTTGAGTTAAATGTGTTTGTTATGTGCAGATATTGTTTCTTGATCCATTCTGCCATTCTGTTTCTTCTAATTGGTAAATTGAAACCATTGACATTGATGATTATAATTAGTAGGTACTGGCTTATCCTTGTCAACATGTTGACATATTTTCATTTTGTTCATTCTCATTATTACTCTTCTATTTAATTGCTTGTATTGCCTAGTGGAGTCATTCTATTGGGATTCTTAGAGTTGTTGTTTTCATTGTCTTTTTCTAGAATATCTTTTAGAGCTTTTTTCAGTGTTGGCTTAGTGGTAATGTATTTATTCAGGTGTTTTTTTTGTCAGAGAAGTATCCCTATCAATTTTAAAAGGTAATATTTCAAGGTACATTAAAACTGAAGGTTGTTTCCTTTCAGGGATTGAAAATCCCTAAAATCCCTCCTTAGCTTAAGATTTTGTGTTGAAGAGTCTTCTGTGAGTCTGGTGGGTTTCATTTATAGGTGGTTTCTTTTCTGTAATAACTGTTCTTGTATTGAATTCCTGTAATCCTGATAATATATGCCTTACTATAAATTTTTTCTGATTGTTGCTAATTGGAATTCTACATGCCTCATTTCTATGTGTGTCAAATTCTTTTTCTATGCTTGTAAAGCTTTCTGCCATTACTTTTGTGAATGTGTTTGCCATGTCCTTTGTGCTATCTTCTGATTTTTCATTGATTCCAATTAATATAATGTTATTCTTTTCATCATCTAGCAATGGTTGATTGATTTCTCATTGTTCCTTGGCATTTTAAAGAAATCTTTTATTCAATCATTTCTAGCTGAAACACTATATTCTTGGTCTGACATTCTATTTTCACATTGTTTGATTCTGCTGTCTATACTTCCAATAGAATTGATAATATCTTGGGTATATGCGTGAATCTATTATGAAATCCAGTTGTTTCTTATGTTGGGTATTCATGGCTTCTATAACTTTACTAAGCTCTTGTATTTTTTTTTTCTGAACCAACTGTATCTTCATTAGCTATATCCTTTATCATGGTCCTCATCTCTTTCATTGTGTAATTAACATTTGTTTTGTTTTTTTCTAAATATTCATGCATCTGTCTTGTTACTTCTGCTTCTATCATTTCAGAATGTTCAATTGAGCTGGAGGTCTGGGATTGCATCTTGTTATTATACTTTCTTATTTTCTATATTTTTATTCATTTTTTCTTCATTGATGCTTGTAAGTTCGTTATTGTGAATGGCATTAGTAGTAGTATTGATTATTTTTTAAAGATGTTCAAAATGTAGCTGGATTTGGCATTTGAGTTTGTCCCATGATCCTGCCTCTTCTGTTTATTAGAGTTGAGAGGTTGCAGCTTGTTTGGCATAGTAACATGTTCTTTGATACTGGACTCTAGTATTATTTATGTTCCCTAGACAATCTAGGTATTTGCATACGGGGAAGATCAATTTATCAAAGAACGTATATCACCTTTGCAGCCAACAATAACAACAGTCTCAAACACAGACTGGAAAATGACAAACTGTGATAAGTAATAATATGTACCCTTTAACCATAAATACATGATTTACAGTTATATAACAAAATCTTAGAGAAATCAAAAATTATATATAGCAAATACTCTCTCAATAGAGCAATTTAACTAAAGGTGAGAAAAAAATAAGAGTACAAAGAGGAAAAAAATAGTAGAGTTCTGAAGCAAGGCAGAAGGACTAGGGAAGATTGCTCAAGCTCTAGGAACCTGGTAAGGAAGACAAGAGAGATTAAAAGAATGAAAAAGAAGGACAAAACAAAAAATACTAAATACAGTGGCCTCTTTCACAAAGAAACAAGAGCAATGAGGGAGAGAGAGAGAGAGAGAGAGAGAGAGA